AGCTTGGGACAAGGACGTCTTCAGAGCTTCTTCTCAGAAATTTCTGTTTTTCTGGGGCAGCCGCGAGACTTACTTCGAAGAGGACAAAATCTTTAGGGTCAAACCTAAAGCCCATCAGCTGGTCGAATTGGCCGGGCCCAGGTGAACCCTAGCAGCAACACCTGGACCTATAGGGATGAGTCCTGCGGGCATACCTTAGCATTGCTGGGCACACGGCGAGGTGGCAAATTTTCCATGTATGCTGTTTCATGTCAAGTTCTCAGACGATTCCTGGCAGCTAACAGAGTTCCTCGAGTCGGCACGTGATCCTTGGGAGGAAAAAACACGTGCAGTCGATCGTCCGCATGCATATGTTTGTTATATATACAGTATTTAACAGTTCTTAATTAAGCACTGTTTTCGTACCTTATATACCATGCTTAAATAGACACTATGTTGCTTAATCAAGATGACCAAAGATATGTAAAAATTATTTAAACATCTTTGGAAGCTCTGGGCACTCTGTATGCTTTCCCACCAAAACGAGCGTTTTTTTGGCAAAAACTCTAGAGCGCCGTAACACCTTGTTGGCACCGAAACATGCCGTATGAGAAAAGGATAACTTGGAAAACTTGATCTCAAAGTTTTCTGTCCATCCGTTTGGAAGCACTTGTGAGCATGTGGAATTCATGTCATCCATGTGTGGAAGCTGAATGCTCAAGCTAAGCTCAGGAAGGCAGCTTTTTGACCAGCAGTCATGTGTATCGCTTGGAAAGATCTACACGGCTCCGTGCTGTTGTGCAGCAGCCGAACTCAACTCCCATAGCTTTGACCTTAAGTTAAGAACCGTGATGCGATTCCGAGCGTGGGGTGGTCTGAGACACTAGCCTGTGCCCCGGTAGCTTTAAGGCCTTTGGGGTTTAGGCTTTATCTGCTTGGTGTATTGGTTGCGACCGGCTCATCGGTACATGATGGCAAGTTTGAAGTGTCGCGCAAGGCAAACGGTAGATATACAAAGACTTACAGATAGCACAGGAGATTGAACGGTGTGGGGCCTGTACTTGTTATTGTCATCGTCGTCATTTTGTCTGACTTGTCTTCTTCTTAAAGTGATCAGAGGAGAGTTTTTGGCACAGTCCAGCAGTAGTTTGACTGTCAGAAAAATCGCGTGCAGGAAGCATGAGCGCGGACTCGGAGGCCCGGATGAACATTCCATGATTCTTTGCTGGCGCCATGGCCAGCTTTGCACGCCGATCGAGAATTCCGTACGAAGTCTGAGGCAGGCACACACAATCTCACGGCGCATGGCCAGGCACATCGCAAACGGCTGTGCCAAGAAGCGGGCAAGCAGCTCGCGAAGGCACAGCAAGGCGGGTGCGGTGTAGGCATCATTTTCTTGGAAAGTTTGAAGCACCGACGATGGAACTAAAGTTGACTGTTGGTTGGGAGCAAGCCGTAGTTCTAGACATGATACGTGTCAGTAGCCCCAAGCCCGCCAAGCTTTGTTGCCATCACTTTCGGAGAGTGAGGACAGATCCTGAAGCGTCCTCATGATATTCAATCACTTGTGGTGTATCTTGGGTAGTGGCTTAGATCGTCGACGATCGACGTCCATACTCGCCGTAGTGAAAGTGTGTTCTAGATTTGCGCGTGGTGGACCTCACCAAAGCCCAAGGCGCCAGAAAAGGGTCCCATGAGCAAACCGAGCCATTTCCTGCACAGAGTTACAGCTGCAAGCCTGTGGATTTGAACCGGACTCTGTCCTGGTCGCTCTCCGCTCCACTCCACCCCTTTGACACACTGTCAGCATTGTTTTACGGGGCTTATGTCAAACGAAACCAGCTTTTTGCTTCGCAAGAAAAGACAGCGTCTAGGCCCGGCCCAAGCACCTGAACCTTTGCTTTCTGAATCATTCGCAGGCACGAAGTGTTTCACCTTCTTCGACCCCAAACCGACCAACAAGCCAAACCCTCAACGTTCAACAATCTTAAAAGCCTAGAGCCCCACTCAAGAATCCTTCCTGGAGGTCAAAACTTCGACGAGCTGACGCAGGCCGTGGCTGCGGCAGAGAAATGCGGCATTCGCATGGCCCTGGGCTCGGTGGGTTCTGTTGGAGTTGCATGGAATTCAGGGTCAGGCGGGTCAGGTTGCTGGGTGGTGGTCAGAGAGAAACAGAGAAATCCTGAGTCGTGGAGGCTCGAAAAGGGCCTGGGATCTTTCGTGTCGAGTTCAGTGTCAGACATATGAACGGCTAGAACTGTTCCTCGAGATGTCCCCAAAAAAAGAACTGGGGGTATTTTACCGCCGGGTACCGTTGCAGTCGCCCTGGTGTCCGGGCATGGAGTCGTCGGCTGTCTAGCACAGCTTCCCTTGCAGGGTCTCTACAGCTAAGACCCAGGTGTTTCCAAAAGTTGTAAGGAAGACTAGAGGTCCCAGTACAGCTGCTGGGCTTCGAGTCCCTCGCCTTTGGCCTTGTCCACTTGATGTACCTTGCAAGGCCTGAAACCCAAAGCCTCAATCCCCCCTTCGAGTCCACCTTCGGGCCTTCGGGCCCTTAGGAGGAGATCGAGAAGGAGGCGGCGGTTTTCTCCAAGCAGTACGAGGCTTTCGAAGGGGGACGCAGCAGGACTCTTCTCCTAGCCTACCTGTCCGAAAAACGATGCAGGAGGATGCCGTTGAGGTTCGCCGGGCCATGAACAGCAAGGACGAGGCGGCCCATGCATTCATCAAAATCGGGGGTGTGGGGCTAGGCTGAGATTTTTGGAAAATGTTCAGCAGGCAAAGGGAATCTAGAAGAACCGACCACGACTCTTGACAGCTGCGACTCTCCCCAACCTGAACCCATCTCAGCATCTCATGTACGAAGATTCTTCTTTGAAGGGCTTATAGTCTTGAAAAGACCTCCCCAGGGGCTTGCGGCTTGACTGAACTTGGGGAAGAATGCTGTCGAACAAGCCCAACAATCCCAGCACTTGACACGCTCCGGCATTGATCCCTGGGAGCTTCGTTGCCCCCGCTGCTGATGCCTTTGGTGCTGCTGCCGCAGTGCCGTCGAGACGACGGCAATTGCAGATCGCCTGAGAGTGCCGAACGCAACTAATATCAGCCGGCAGCGCAGAGAAGAAAGGCAACCCCAAGCCTGGGAACAAACCACACACCGATGCTGCTGTTTTGGCACCAAAAAATGCATTCTAAAAAGGAAAGGTGTGTGTGTGTGTGTGATCCTACTGTCCTCCTACTACTCTCGATTTTTTCGATATTTCATTTCTCTACGCTTCCCCAAACCCAAGGGCGCCATGGTCTCCGCTCTCCGAGCTGCGGAGGCGAAGGGCTTCGAAGATTCCTTCTTGATGGGCCGCTCGGCGCCTCCTCTTCTGAGAGAGCTGGCTTTGTTTGTTTCTGTGTGGTTGTGGTCGTTGTTGTCTTGTCCTTTTGTTCTTGCTTTGCTTGTTTCTGGCAGGGCCGTGGGGTGCAATGGTAGCAGTCCCGCAAGGGTCATGGTGCATCACCGTCGAACTATTCATGCTGATGGTTGAAGTCGTGCGTCAGCAAGAAGTACAGCAGCGGTGGTGGCTGTGGTGGTGCTGGTGGTGGTGGTTGTGGTGGTGGTGGCGGTGGTGTTTTTGGTTTCTCTTCAACTCCCCGAATTGAGCAGCCCACGATGATTCCGATTGCAAGACTTTGACCCAGACGGATTCTTGTGTCCCAAAGCGTTTCAATCCCTAGCTTGTGGAGCGCTGCTTCAATGCTATTTGGCATCTTGTAGGTACCCCTAGTTTCAGAAAGTATCAGCATCTCTAAGGTCGTAGAGGATTTTAGAGATCGAGGCGAACTCAGGGAGAAGTTGGCTGAGCTGCAGGCGTGCAGCAGATGGCTGGCAGAGTGCTGCACGTTGGTTGTTGTAGGTTCGCGGCTCGCAGAAAGTGTTTTTGTGATTCCCCGACTTCTGCATTGAAAGGGATACTACATGACGGGACGTTGCATTCCCCAGAGGGTGATCTGAGATCCCACTTAAGAGCTTACGTCTCCCAATGTTTTTAATCAAGCCGCAAACCCTCAATGCCCTATTCGAGGCTTTCGCTCTTCGGTTTACATTTACTGTCGACAGAGGCGGCACGCGCGGCCGCCGCGCGGCGCTCTGCTGCAGAGTCCCAGCTGGAGCGTGCCTTGGGGGAGGACTGCGGATTCTGCGGATTCGGGGGTTTTGGAGCCTCTGACGTCGTTCTCCTCGGCGTCTACGGTGCCCATGGTTCAATATCTTCAATGTCCCATAGAGCCACAGACAGTCTTGACTCAGGAATGTTCCTCAAATCAGACTTTGATGCCATTGAGATTTCAAGATACCTTCATTCAGGGCCAGGTTGGGCTCTCTCTAGGCTTCCCTCGAACCCCGTTAAGAATTTACCCGGCCTGAAATTTTCAAACGCTTTGTTCCCCATGGACCCAAACTCCGGAGGACGCGAAAAGCCTGGAGAAGGCCATCGCCGAGGCAGCGGTCAGTGGCCGACGCCTCGGAGACTTTCGGTCTCGGGAGCAGGGGATGCGGGTGATTCAAATTGAGGGATTCGGGATCAGGGAGGCGTCGAACAGGCCTATCCGGCGTTCTTCTTGGTGGTTTTCGGGCTTGCTGTTTTTCGTCACAGAATGAGCCACAGCTGCACAAAAGAGTTTCTTTTGCTGCTTTAGGAAGCCCATGCTCCCAACTTGCCCAATGAATGCCTCAGCCTGGAGTAGCTTGGCGAACCAACACCCTGCCCTAGGCTCTGAACCCTAAAGCTTCACATCGGCACCCTATATAATCCCTAGATTGAAACTGCTAGCCCCCCCGAATGGAAACCAAGACTCGAGGTTGAAAGTAATCAAACAAGTTGAAGCTAGCACTCCAAGTTGAAGCTAGACCACTCTCTTGCTAGGCAGATAGATTGTAGCAACAACTCCTGGTTTACAGCTCCAAGATGAAGGCTTGAGCTTGTCGCAGCTGGCGCCGGCGCGCAAACGCAAAGCAGAGATCGAGGAACTTTGACAGGAGGTTTACTTGGTGGTGTTGAGTCTTGGACATGATTCGGTTTACGGTGAGGGTGGTGTCTTGGGGTAGGTTTAGATTGAAGCACGTAGCTGTAGCTTTGAGTACAGTGGCTTGTTGCTCGCAGGCTGGGGACTTGAACGAACCTAAGCCTGCACGTGTTCGAGTGTGAATCCGAAGCACAATGTGCTGAGATCAACCAATCCGAAATCCCACACCCTAAATCAGCCCGAAACCGGGAGCCCGCACACCCCAAAGCAAACCCTGTGCAAGCCGGCTTGAAGACTTACATGTCTCAAGTTCCCACAGCTCCACGGCCTAAAAGCCCATGCCTCAGAAATCCACAACTCATCCAAGCCACTAAACTTTCTCCACATCCCCCAACATCCGTTTAAGGGCCTCCCCCACAGCTTCAGGAGCAGCGACGCCGTGAGCAGGGGCGGGAGGCTGCGGGTCCATGAGCTTCACGGGGGGCGGGTGCACCGTTTTCCGGGGTCCTTGTATACAACAGGGATCCTATCGATTTAGGACGTCTACTCGAGGTCTTCTGTTTTCTGGGGCGGTCTCAAGGTTTATGGGTTGCATGAGGCGGTGCGACAGGGGCTCAGGGCTTGGCGCGGGGATTTTGAGTAAGGGTTTCAGGGTTTAGGGATGATGAGATTTGGGCATCGGCCCAAATTTTTGTGGAGTTGTATAGGATGATCAGGATGTGCTTTGTCCGGGGAAGTGGGCACAAGGGCAGTCAAACTTCGCAAACTGGGAGGGCTCTAGGGTTTGAGCTCAAGATGCAGAGCACACTGAGCTGCAGCCAGATGGTAACAAAAACCTGCGTTTCGCCCTAAGCCGATTTCCCATCTCCCAATCCGGGACAGGTTTTGGCCCGCCGGCTCAAGGCGGCGACTCGCACGGGGAACCCGAAGATCCTGGCGCAGGCAGTGTTTGAGTACGCCGCGAAAACCCTCGGCAGCCGAAGCCCTTGTTGACCCCCACAGCCCTGCATTTTTCAACAGCACC